CCCCAAAAAAAAAAAAAAAAAAAGCTGCCTACTTACCAATGTACCACAGATAGAAATTTGCCATAATTTACTGGCAGTGGAGAAATCTAGCTTTGGGGGCTGGAGTCGGGAGGGCTTAAGTTTTCTCACCTGGAGAAGGGTTGAATCACCACCCAAGCACCTGCTGGAATGACTCAGGAAACAAAAATGGCCCAGCTCCCTCTGACAGCCTGACTTTCTTGCCCCAGGGGCAGGTCAGGGGTTTGAGGAGCAATAGGTACCAGTAAAGAGGTTGAGGTGGGGGGTGGGACGTTCCCAAGTTCCTTCAAGCACGACTCTGACCCTGAGGGCATTTGATCCCCTTGTGCTTGACCCCATTGTGGAAAGGAATTGACTTTAAATTGCCAATGCTTAAGAAGGGAGGAGAGGCAATACTAGCCACTGGGACTGGAAGGCTTGACATCTCGGTCTTGGGTGGGGAGGGGGCGTGGTACCCTGAGGGGAAGTGTTGGGGGCTGGGAAGTACAGGACACCTGGGTTTGCCTAAGGGAGGAGGATGTTGGCGCCCTTAAAGGGAGGCGCAGTCTTTGGGAGGGATTGGGGAGGAGTCAGTCTTTAAAAGCTGTTCCCGGGTCTGGCCCGCCAGCCACAAACGCCGAGCCCAGGCGGGAGAGACCTTTGGCACCCGGGCTGCCCTGGCAGCTGCGGGAACTCCGGAGACCACAGGGTGAAGTTTTACTGTTTCCACCCAGGTCGGTAGGGTCGCAGCAGCGGGTAGGGGGAGAAGAGCTGGGGTTCGGGAGGCCTCCGAGCAAGAAGGAAAGGAGAGCACAGACTCCTCTCCAGTGCAGGGCCGGGGATACCAGGCGGATTTTGCATTTGACTCTCCAAAGTGTGCCGAATTGCTTGGGAGCAAAGGCACCATCTTAAGGACTTGACTTGGGGATGATATCCAGACCCGAGTTTCTCTGCAACGACTGCAGCCTGGGAAGGCACCTCACTTTCTGAGGGGAGGGCGTTCAGGACACCCGCTGAAGGCTTCTTCCCCCCAGTCCATGGCACTACCCGGCCCTTCACAGGACCAGGCTTGGAGCCTGGAGCCTCCGGCTCCCACGGTCCCTCTCTCCTCGCCTTCGGGACCCCAGCAGCGGGAGGGCGCTGGGAGCCCGGTGGTGTCCGCGGGGCTTCCCTTCGAGAAGGTGAAGCGGCCCATGAACGCGTTCATGGTGTGGAGCTCCGCTCAGCGCCGCCAGATGGCGCAGCAGAACCCAAAGATGCACAACTCCGAGATCTCCAAGCGCCTGGGCGCGCAGTGGAAGCTGCTGGGCGAGGACGAGAAGCGGCCCTTCGTTGAAGAGGCCAAGCGGCTCCGCGCCCGGCACCTGCGCGACTACCCTGACTACAAGTACCGGCCTCGGCGCAAGGCCAAGAGCTCGAGCGCCGGACCCCCCCACTGCAGCCAAGGAAGAAGTAGCCTGGCCGGCGGCCCACTCTGGGGACCTGGGTACACGACCACTCAAGGGAGCAGAGGCTTTGGGTACCGGCCCCCCAACTACTCGACAGTCTACCTGGCCGGTACCTATGGGTGAGTGCCTGGGAAGCGGGGTGAGGAAGGAGACACTTGGTGTTCCTCTCCCGGAGCCAGGGTGGGGGCAGATGCCAGAGGGCCTGGCCAGAGGGGGGACCTAAGCCCCACCCAAGCAGAGACCACTTCCGACTGAGGTTGACGGCTGCGGAGCATCAACCTATGTCCTCCCGGGTCCCTGTGAGGGGTGGGCTGGGAGCGTCCCAGTGGCTCGGGGTTTTCCCAGAGGGAGTTTCCATGAGCCTGGAGGCAGGGGTCCTGCAGGGGCCGATGGCAGACCCTTGGACATGATCGTGTTCTAGTTACCTGGATGGCCCATTTTCCCCTGCCTTTGGCCTGAGCCTGACCTATCTTCCTCTCCCAGCCCTCAGGGCAAGGTGAGGCCAAGCCCATTCGACCCCTTCCTGGCCTGCCTCCCCAGAGGAGGAAAACAGCCGCACAGCACGCAAGCCCGCGAGCGTGCCCCAACAAGGCTGCCTGCCATATCCAGTGAGCCCAGACAGCCAGGGGTTGTGGGTGGGTGACAAGTTCTTACCATCTGCTCAGTCCTGGTCAGGACTCTGCCCAGCACCTCCAACCCAGGGCAGTGCCCTCTAACCCCCGTGTTTCTCTTTGCAGCTCTTCCCACTGTAGACCGGAGGCTCCCTCGCCAAGCTCCCTCCCTCACAGTGACGCTGGGCTCCAGGGGGAGCTGCTCCCCCACTACAGCCCCTACCTATCCCCAGGCTCTCCCACTCCATACAACCCTCCCCTGTCTGGTGTCCCCATGCCCCTAGCCCACCTCTAACTCTCACGGACACTGACCTCCTCCCACTGAGGGCCTCATTCTCCTTTCCCACCCAGAACCGTTCCCCTCTCCCAGGCTGCAAACCCCTGCAGTCTTCCCATAAAAGCCAGGGAGAGCAGCCCCACAGTTTTTGTAGGATGAAGCACCGTTTTGTATGATTAAACCACATCTCCGAGTGTTTATTGTCCCATCTGTTCCACTCACTGCAGCAGGAACCAGCGCCATCTCCACTCCCTTCCGCCTGGACCTGCCAGAGCAGGAACCTCCTCACCCCACCCTCGGGCCCTACCTGAGTCATTCTCTGTCCCCCTTCCCCCACCCCAGCCCAGGGGTCCAGGAGACAGTCCCAGTCAGGCTGGGGGAGGGAGGCAGCCACAAGTCACTGGTCCCCTCCATTTCATCGTCCAGGCTCTGTCCTCTAGGGCCAGAAGGGGAATGGGGAGGAAGGTCAACAAGGCAAGACATGTGCCCAGAATAGGTAAATAAATAGATGGAAATTGCTGCTAAAGGAGAAATCTCAGCCAAATGATTGAGTTAGTAATACATATACAGGATTCAGAAGAAAAGTACTCAAATGTCAAAATGTCAGCTTGAAAGACCCTACCCTCATTCTCTCTTTAGCGAGGATCTGGGTCCACCAACTTCCCCATTTCCACTAAAAACAAATCCTGGCTCAAGAAGTTGCAATTGAGGAGGAGTGGAGAATGCTTAAAAGTCCCACCAGCAGGCTGGCTCAGATGAGGGAGGACCCTGAGGTTGGATGGATGAATGGAAACCAGGAATGACTCCAGTAGCTGGCTCAGCCCTAGTGTTCTTTTTTCTGCTTGTGGGGTGCCTTGGCATTCCAGTAGAAGAGGAGCTGGGCAGCGATGAGGCCATTGCAGAGGGAGGAGACCACAAAGGTTCCAGCCATGAGGGGGTCTCCAGTTTCCTGGTTGTGGAAGAGACAGCTAGGGTCACCCTTAATCAGAGCCCAAGAAAGTTCCCCTAAGGACAAAGGTTCCAGGGAGAGGGCAGCTTTAACCCTTAGCTGGGAGAGGCAGGATGAGGTTTTAGTGCCCTCTAGAGGGAAGAAGGTACACTCACCTGAATGGTAGTGAAGATTCGGGCCAGGGAGCCCCCAAAAAGCAGAAAGACTGTGATGGCTGACAGCTGGCCCGTGTGCCCATTGTGGTAGTTGGTGGCTGCCTGGAGTAGCTAGGGGAGGAGTTGAGACCTTTGGTTCTGTCATCTGAACTCTTCCCATGTTCCCATCGCTGGCTTCCCTATTCCCCTCCACCCAACACCCCCACACTTGGGGCTTCCACTCTGCCCCTCCACCCTGTCCCCCCTCCCAACATCCTTTCCGTTGCTCCCAGTACCCACCCTCCCCACGACCACAGCAGGCACGTTGGAGGCCTGGAGCAGGGTGACTACAGCCAAAGGTGTCAACGGTGAAAGCAGCACCAGCAGGACCAGGGTATAGCAGGCTAGGAAAGTGACACCTGGGGGTCGGGGAGATAAGTCCACATCAACCTCTCAATGTCCTCTGGCTTCCCCAGGCCTGACTTCCCAGCAGGGTTCCCAAGAGCCAAAGTCAGCTCTCGGATAAATTCTCAGCACCTTTCACGGTGTGTCCTCTGTAGTGCATGACCAGGAAGAAGATGGTGATCGTTTGGAGCATCAGGAACAGGGCTTCACCCCAAGAGCTGCAGAGTCAAGAGTAGGGAGGAAAAAAGGCAGGCCTAGAAAGAGGCAGGGAAAGCCTCCATAGCCCATCCGTCTGGGGATACAATTCTCTGATTATTCTCTGTCCTCCACAGTCCCCTATCCGTGACTGTCTCATTCTGAATCCTGGGCATTATTGAGACGCTCACCTCTCATCATTTCCATTGGTAATAACTAGATTTCTAAAAGGGCTTAAGTTTTTCTGCCCTTTTACCTCCCTTACCTTCACCCCCCATTACAGTTGTAGACATTTACTCTTGGGGATGAAGAGTGGGCCTCTCACCTGAAGGGGAAGTTGTTGGTGATGCTGTAGACCATAGTCCCAGTCAATGCCACTAGCTCCAGCATTATTGACTGAAGACTCAGTCCTTCAGCACTCTTGGCTCCCAGGACTTTAAACACCTGGGGCAGCTTTACTAGGGAAAGGATGAGAAGGGTAGGGTTGAGGAGCCTCCAGTCTTTGGGAGTGCAAGACAACAGTCACAGAAGGGACTCGGAAGCATGTTAACCCCACTTCTGGTTAAGGGAGCCATACAGTGTATGGCATCTCGGCACCTCCACCCCTATTCCAACAGCAGGAAAGAAAAATAAGATACATACCCAAAAGTGACCCAGCCACAATGCCCAGCCCCAGGCCTTTGCTGAGGAGAATCTTGAGGCAGGGGACTGAGAAGAGAAAAAGGGGTAAGCAGAGAGGAGGCCTCTGGAACCCAGGCCAGGGCTTGAAGTGGTCCTGTGTGCTGCCACATCCCCCCTTCCTTCAACCTGGACATACCCACACACAAAAGTCTTGTATTGTCTAAGGGCACGGGAAAAAAGGCCTGGTCCTTCCTGCTCCAAACCGTCTCACATTCAGACCAGATGACTTTCCAAAGCATCTTTTACCATAATGCCTTCCCTCCCACCCAACCTTCCATTCCCTTCAAATTGACATCTAGACTCCTTGGCCTGACTTTCAAGGCTCTTCCTTGCTTCCCTGTATAAAGCTGAGCAATGCCCAATAGTCTCCTGATCCTCCTCTGAGCAATGGGTGGCCTACTTCACATGATTCTAAGGACAGGGCTCCAGACCACTCATTCCTGAACCCTCTGACTGCACGTGGCCTCTACTCAGGGACATAAGCCTTCCTTCCAAAGGCCCTGGTCACCCACAATTTCTCTAGCCTTGAAGCCTTCCCCCAAGGAGCCTGGCTCAGTGGGAGTCAGACTCACGGGTTATGAATACAGCTAAAACTGAGGCCCGCGAGCACAGGAGAGGTACTATAAACCAACAGGGGTAGACCCAGAAGGCTCCCCAAAGGGTCTGATGTCTGAGATGGGCTTTGCTATGTATGGAGCTGCCTCGCAAATGGCAAGAGGAAGAAAGGCAAATTATTTAAAAATCAGACCATGAGCAAATGTGGAAGCCGGAAAGAAAGCAATCGGGGTGGTGGGAGCCTTTGGGGGTCCCAATGAAGGCCTGACTGATCAGGGGCTTTGAATTATGTTTAATCCCGCTAGCGAACAAATAAAGGTTGGAATAACTTCATTGGATTTTCACTTTAGCTTTGTAAAACCTGAGTCTTTTCGTCTGTCATTGTCGGTAAAACACAAACTTCACAAAGAAGTACTTCCACCCTGCGACTCCCTCTCTTGCCCAAATATGGCGTCCTCCCTCTGTGCAGCACAAGACACTTCCGCCCCGCTCAGAAGTAACTTCCGCCCAGCTCGGCGTAGCAGCAGCCACCGCCGTCGCTTAGTCGGCAGTCACGCCCCACTTATGGTCCACAGTCGCTCGAACAAAATCTTGATAGGATGCTGAATAAAACTCACCGTGAAGCAAGTCCCAATGGACAAAAAGTCGGTCGTAGCATTTCTCTGGTAAAAGAATCGGCACCAGCACCCGTTTGAGCAGTCCGTCTGCCTCCGCCATATTGTAAAGCTAACTTCCGCCAGTTTCTCCGGAGCGCCATTGACTTGCGTTGCGCATGCGCGCTCCGGGCACTCCGCCTCTTGTTCTTTTCCCGCCACTAAGCTGGACCGCCCCCTTCCCCGCTCTTTCTTCTGCAAGCCCCTATCACAGTGTAACGTAGGTCTCGGTCACAGAGCATATTTTAGACGCGCCCCGCTGTTCGAATTTTAAAGCGTGCCAGAAGTGCACGCCTGCGCAGATAGGCCTCCCGCGCCTTTGTTTACGCTTCCAGTTAGGAAGCGAGATTTATTCCCCTTTCTCCGCTCCTCCTGGAGGCGCCATCTTGTCTTCTCCCAGCCAACTTTATACTGTTCCAAGTTGAGAGAAGGAGCAGGAGTCTCCAAGATGGCGTTGGGTGGGGCCGTTGTAGCTCTCTATCTCCCATTCTCTCGGGGTCTCCCAAGGGAAGGGCGCTGGCAGGATCAAGACAGTCTGCACCAGGCAGCCCTCCTTAGGCGCTGGGCCCCATGCTTCTCCCTTCTCTGGCTCTCCCAGACCTTGCAGAGTAGCTGCACGAGCAACTGCCGGGTCCACGACAGTGGAGCAGAAGAGGAGGAGGCGGGGGAGGCGAGCGCGGCTCGGGAGAGCAGCCACTGAGCCACCACTCGGGGCGCAGAGCTGGCAGCCTCCGTAAAGCCCAGGCCGACACTTCTCTCAGCGTCCTGGCATGGCGGCCCTGGGTTCTCCTTCACCCCGCTAGCCCGAGGGTGCACCGGGTACTGAGCAAGGACTTAAGTGAGGCCGAGTGGGCCCAGCAGCTCCCTTTAGGGAAGCTGGACTACACGTTGGGAGCGCTGCATTCTGCCACCCAGCGCCCAGACACCAACCCACGGTGTGTCGTCCTGGTGGAGTTTCCTGGCCATCACGCTGTCGAGCAGCCCTTCGTTGTCTCTTGCTCTGAAATCTGCAAGGTCATACGGGATGTCTGCAAGGCAGTGGGGCCACTGCTGGGGTCCTGCCTCGTGTGGGGGGCCCCCAGTGGGGTGGGCGCTCCTACTAGCCTCCAGCCATTGTGCCTCGGCCTACTGTAAAGGTTGGGACTGGCACTAAGTAGTGGTGCCGGCCTTGGCTGTCTGGGAAGCCCTTCCTAGAATCTGGACACAGGCTGCCCTGGAAGTGACAATGTCCCCCACACCTGCCCAGGTACTGGGACCATCAGGGTTGGGTTGGCAGGTAGCCCAGAATAGGGGCATGCTGTTCTGAGGAGCGTAGAGGGTAACTGTATGTGGAGGTCAGAGTAACCACTGATCCTGTGGTTGACGCAACCCTTTGCAGGTGGGGAAGAAGCATCGCAGGTGCAGCAAGGGTTTATTAGGGCTTTTCAGGTAGCCCTGAACACGGTGGACAGGACAGGGCATTCTCTTGCTCCTTGAAATTACACAGCCACCCACTTGCTGCTTTGGCTGTCTGCTGCTCCTGTACATGAGGCTTGGGGAGAAGGCTGCCTGGCTCGATGGCTCCACCAGATTGGTGGGGAGGGCAAACTGGAGCAGCCAGTGGCCCCAGAAGAGGAAGGGAGAGAGACCTGGCCAGTTCAGTACCAGCTGTACCAGGCTTCGGGGGGGATGAGCCCATGATGGCATTTGGTCACACATTGACATTTTCACCCCTCCTCGTCATTGTTTCTGGCTCCCTGAGACTCACACCATGGAAGGCACAGGAAGGCATGTGACAAGAAAGTCATGGCTTTTAATCCTGGCATGACAAGGGAAATTTAGGACAAAGATTTGAGTAGGTTTTACTACTCTCCTGCTGGAGATGGGGATGGGGGAGTCTGTCACATTTAATAAAAATCTCTCCCCTCCTTCCAATTGCATTATCTGTTTTTGTTCTTCAAGAAAGACAAGCAAGGAAGATAACTTTGTCTTTGAGTCAATTACATCGCGAAGAAATGGAGGTACCACTGGTGCCCTGGGGGTTTGGGCAAATGATCAGAGGGGCTGGTAGGTGGATGGCCGTCTCCGGATGATGCAGAAGGCAACAAACACCAGGGCGAGGAGGCCGAGGAGGATCAGGCCGATGATGAGAGGCAGCAAGATGAATTGGTCACTGGGGCAAGAGAAACCTGGCAGAAAGACAGGGCAAATAGGCACCGCAATGGTACTGGCTGGGATAAAGGAAGCAGCAGGAGGAAGGAATGTGGGGAACTTTGGGAAGCAGGAGCTAGGTGAAGAGCTCACCTTGATCACTCAGAGCAGTAAGTAAGAGGAAAATGGGCAGTCTTGTAGAGGAGGGGACAGTTGCCCTGTGACCATAACAAGCCTGGGAGAGGGAGACATCTGGGGGCTTAGGAAGGGAGAGGACTGGCTTATGGGCCTGGGAAAAGGGCTTTCTGTGCAATGTAGAATTCTAGGAGGGAAGGGATGGGATAGGTGAGTCTTACTTGGTCCAAAGACCCCTGTGTGGGGCAGCTGAGCCGCCTGTAGTCTCAGGAAGAGGAGATCAAGGTGGAAAGCTGGTGAAAGAGTGATGCTCGAGTTTCTGCAACTGAAGCTACGGCCCAGGGGCGCTTGGAGATCTTGAAGCGATGAATTCTGAGCTGAGAACGTCCACTCTAAAGGAGGGAGGAAGGGTCAGATCCTATCCACCTCCCCACCCTCAGCTTAGTCCGTTCATGAGCCCAGACATCCAGTGCTAGCAGTGAGAAGGGGAAGGAGGTACTCACGTGCTGCGTGGGGGAAGGACACGTTGTACTCCACAGCCATGTAGTTCAGATAGACAGTTCTCTGCTGTAGGTCCTGGGAGGGGAACGGGAAGGCTCAGGGCAGCAAGGGGAAGTGGTGTCCAAGTCCACAGAGGAAGGAGGCAGGGATTGGAAGGAATGGGGGTGAAGTCATGAAACTGTACCTGCTGGAATCCAAAGCTGAGCTGTCCATAGGGGAATGCGAGAAGCAGGTGGGGATGGGCACCCTCACAGCCCCCCTGGGGCTTGGTTTTGTTTGGGTTTAGTACAGAGATGCCCCAGGCCTGCAGAAGTTAAAGATCAGAGAGGGTCATGAGACTACACGGCCATGCCATCCGAGGTTCCCTGTTCCCTCCATCCCCACCCTGTATTTGTCCCCTTTTCTATTCTTTTCTCTGAACCATAGTAGGATTTCTCTCCTTCCCCACATCTCCCTGTTTAACTTTACCTCTCCTCCACCCTGGGTCGGGTACAGGATTCGAATCTGAATCTGGGCTTGGAGCTGGACGCAGGGCTGGGAACCATTAACCCACGTATAGTTTCCTATAGCCTTCTTGGAGCCTGGGATAGGACTTGGTGAGGGTGGAGGTGGTCCCGGGTGGGGGGAACTGGTGGAGAATCCCGGGCTAGTAGCAGTGCTATTGCTTGTTGTGGGATGAACTGTGGCATTCCCATGACTGCTGGTGGTGGTGGCAGGATTGTGAGTGGCAGTTGTGGATCCATGGCTGGTGGTGCTGTGAATGGTGGTATTGTGGCTCGTGGTTGTCCTGTGGCTGGTTGTCCCAGGGCTTTCTGTAGCTGTAGGTGTCACCGTGAAGGATGGCAGCAGAGTGGCAGATTTTTTGCGAGGACAGTCATTCCCTGTCTCTTGGGCTTTCAGCAGAGGAGAATGGTTAGCCACCCAAGGGGCATGCTCCTTCCAGGGGATACCTCCCTTTAATTTCCCCTTCTTCTTACCTGCTAGTAGCCCCAGCAACGCCCCCGAGAAGAACACAGCTAGCCTCATGGCAGAATGGCCTCACCCAAAGTCCAGCTGGGCTCAGTACCAGTCGCTCAACCCTATTCCCTCTGCCTTCTCTTAGAAAGGAGGAAATGAAAGTCTTTTACTTCCTGCAACTGAGATAATCCCACCCCCAAACTGACTCAGGCACCTCAGCTCCAGCCACCAATCTCTTAGTCATTACTTTGCACAATTAAGTTAGGGAACTATTGGCCCAGGCTTCGTTAAGTGGGAGCTATCAGGGCAAAGTCGAGGATATCACGTGGGTACAATAGAAATGAGCTCTGGGTCAGTTGACCCATGGGAACCCATTTGCCTGCTTCAGCAAAACTTGCTCAGCAGTTGTGGCAAGTGCACACAGGACCAGTTGAGAAACAGCAAGCTCCTCCCTCAGTAACCTTCTGAGCAATGAGCTCAGGAGGTAAAACTAGACCCAGCTTGTTTCCACTCCCCTTTCCCCCATTATTCTCCCATCTATTACTTCCTCTTAGCTGAGGCATGTGACACTTATGACAGTGTGCACCCAATCCTTTACAGGTCACATTCTTCTGTTAACACCATTTTCTCAGAGCAGAGAGAAAACGTCTCTACCATAATCTGGTAACTCACAGGCAGTAACAAGAAAGCAACATAGCAAAAAGGTGAATATTAACTGGTGAGAGGGGAGCTGAGATGTACCCAGTAGCAGGTGGGGGAGGGAAGGGGAGGTAAGAAATGAGAAGCCCAAACAGGCAGTTTCCAAGTCATTTTATTCAGAATTTCATGTTTGTTTTCTGAATCAATAAATACTATACAAAACAACGTAAAAATGGCTACCATTTTCTCTCCCCTGCTCCCCCCAACTGGGGACAATCCCCTGGGCAATCTCACTCAGTTCTCCCTCCAGATTTGGTCCGGCAAATGAGGTTGAGTGACGTATTATAGCCCCTTGAATCATTTTCAGAGGAATTCAGCTGGATTGGGGAGTCTCTGGGACCCAGAGGTGACTAGGTTAGGGAAATTAGTGTTTTTTGGAAGAGACGGCGCCTGGGGCAAGAGCCTGCCCCAAAGAAAAGGGTGTCTAAAATGTTCACGGTTCCTTCTTTTGCCTCAAAAAGTGACATTTATTCAAAGAAAAAAAAGAAAAAAGAAAAAAAAAAAAAAAAAAAAAAAAAAAGACAAGATGTCCATCCCTTGGCTCCCTTCCCTCCCCCCTCCTGCTGCTCCTCAACCCCCAGGATTGAACCCTGGGTAGGGCCAGGTAGCAGGACAGCCCCTCAGATGAGGTCGGCAACATTGAGGGGCATCTCCTCAATGGAGGTGTTATAGAAAGTCTCGATGTCTCGAAGAGTTCTCTTGTCTTCTTCTGTCACCATGTTAATAGCCACACCCTTACGGCCAAATCGTCCACCACGACCGATTCTGGAAAACAAGGATAAGGGAGTAGGAAGAGGAATGAGGAACATCAGAAGCTTCAGCCCAAGGAGAGTTGGGCAAGTACGCCATATCTACACTTACCTGTGGATATAGTTTTCCCTGTTAGTGGGAAGGTCATAGTTGATGACTAAAGAAACCTGCTGCACATCAATGCCTCTGGCCTGTGTTAAGAAAGATTACAACTTCAGCATGTGAAAGAGAAGAGGGCACAATCTAGTCAAGAGACTTAAATACACATGTAGGCAGCCAAAGGAAGGCAGAGGAAATAAGCACCCCTGTCCCCCAAGATCTTAGGCGTGCCAGGTTTTATTCCAAGTTGCTACTTTCCTGAGAGGGGCACTAACTGCCCCCCTGGAGAGGGAATCACCTTGGATTCTCCCTTCTTTCCAATCTTCTCTAAAGTCCCCTCTACTCACCAGCAGGTCAGTGGTAATCAATACTCTGCTAGAACCAGAACGGAACTCCCTCATAATCACATCTCTTTCCTTTTGGTCCATATCTCCATGCTAGAAGACAAAAAAGGGTACAGCAGTTAGGTACATGGGTTGTGAGAAAAGTGGCTCTAAGTAGGACACTGACAGACACACAGCACTAGTAACAAGGAGAAAACTCACCATGGCAGAGACAGTGAAGTCTCGGGCATGCATCTTCTCAGTGAGCCAATCGACCTTCCTTCGGGTGTTGATGAAGATGACTGCCTGGGTAATGGTCAGGGTTTCGTATAAGTCACACAGCGTGTCCAGCTTCCACTCCTGGAGGTGGGGGGAGAAGTATCAATCAGGGGCTATACCAACAACTTACTACCAGGCCCGCCTCCCTGCACTGGGCCCCCACCTCTCGTTCCACATTGATGTAGAACTGGCGGATACCCTCCAGGGTCAGCTCTTCCTTCTTAACAAGAATCCGAATCGGGTCCCTCATGAATTTCTTGGTCACCTCAAGCACATCGGAAGGCATTGTAGCTGACAACAAAACCACCTAATGGAAAAAAAATATCAGCCTTAGGGTGGCAGATACTTCATGATCCCTGTCCCCTTTAAATGCATAAAAAGGCTTAAGGCGAGACTCCAGAATTCTGTATGATTCCTTCCACTGGCACTTGCTATTAATCTTCTTTATCCCCACCAAACCATAATCTATAAAGGAACCACTGTTTATACAAGTAAGGCTCTGTAAATCGTTCTTCTCACCTGAGTGTTGCTGTTGAGCTTTTGGAATATGTCATAGATCTGGTCCTTGAACCCACGGCTTAACATTTCATCAGCTTCATCCAAAACAAACATCTTGATGTACTTAGGAGCTAAAGTGAAGAAAAATTACCAATATGTAGTAATTAAAAAATTGTAAAATATATTCAACTATCCTGACTTAAAAACAGGTAATCTGCTCTCAGAATACAAAGATTGATCCTTTGCCCAGGACTTCCCTGCCAGGCAAGGCAGTAGCCCTGGGAAGTAGAACACTACCGGGGCTGAGACAACAGGGAAAGTCAGGCTCAGATGACACGCATGGGGTTCATCACAGAGCAACTCTTTCAGAAAAGGGAAAACTACATCCTGGGGAATGAGACCTTGGCTTAAGCTGAAAGAGTGGGAAAGCATGCCCAAAAAGGGAAGTGACCCAAGACTGGATAACTGAGTTACTCACATAGATATCTTCGGTTAAGCATATCAAACACACGGCCAGGAGTACCCACGATGATATGTGGAGCTTCCATCTGCAGCTTCTGCACCTCAGCACGTACGTTGGTGCCCCCAATGCAGGCATGGCAGGAAGCACCCATGTAATCTCCTAATGCCATGACAACTTTCTGTATCTGAACCCAGAGAAAGGTAGGTACTCATGTGAGCTGCAACTGTCAGGCCCCATTTTTAATGCTTCTCATGACTTTATTCTTTCCAACTAACTTGAGAAATACACTATTATTAAACCTACTTTCCAGTAAAAAACAGAAGCAAAGGTTATATAACAATCCACTTAAGATCACACTGCCAATGAGTAGCAGAGACAGGACTTGAACTCGGCTTGGTTCATGAGCAGACACTGATTCACAACAAAGCCTCTCTGCAATAATTTTAAAAGTTTCTTCCTCTGGATAGCTAAAACTCTCAACTTTCCAAAAACCAATTGCAACCCATTTATTTCATCTCATAGCAAACAGTTTTATGAACCAAATAAAAGATATCCATGTCCTATCACATCCTTACCACAGAATCTAAGCTAAGTGGCATGTTCACCCTTAAAAAGCAAGCTCTGGACATAAGGACCTTAGAATGGAGTTCTACAACTTCTTGTTTATATCATTTGTACACATAAATTTGCAGAATAATCACTACACCTGCCACAAAACATGTAAAAACACAGCCTCTGAGCCTGAATAGATAATCTATCCATGAGACTACTGCTTCCAATTCTTTACACTCCCAAGACCAAGGAAGAAATCAAAGTTCAGCATTAGGATTTTATGTGCCGGGGCCAGCCTGGTGGCGCACTGCTACAGTGTGCTGCTTGGGAGCGCGGCGGTGCGCTCCCGCCGAGGGTTCGGATCCCACATGCAGACCAGTTCCCGCTCACTGGCTGAGCGAGGTGCGGGCGTGACACCGAGGATTGCGATCCCGTTGCCGGTCCCGGTCCGGTACGGGTGCGACACTGAGGGTTGCGATCCGTTGCCGGACACGATAAAAGACAAAAAGGGGAAAAAAAAAAAAAAAAAAAAAAAAAGGATTTTATGTGCCCCAGGCATGAAACAGCTCTGGCCACCAACCCAGGCATCAAGCTAGGATGAACAAAGGACTGTCCGTCTGCTCTTCCCCTGACTGATATAAGAGCAACACCACCAATGAGATGCCTCTTTGCCCATTGCCAGGGGGTTTGTTCATAATAAAACAGCCACCAAACTTGCCCAGCCAGCCAGGCTCCATCCAGCAGCCTTCCCACTTGACTCAGAAAATGGGTGGAGGTGGTAGTTGTTATGTTTGGGTAGGAAGTGGCTTATAATTAACCCAGCAAGTCTTGAGAAATACAGATCTCTTCAGCCCATTGCCCTTACTTTAGCGCATCTCTTCTTCCCCCAAGGTGGTAGTCCGTGATTTTTGGATTATGCTCATCATCCTTAAATCAGCCCTTCAAGAGAGTAAAGAAGCCACACTCTCACCTGCTGAGCCAATTCTCGAGTGGGTGCCAGGACCAAGGCCTGGGTGGCCTTTAGATCCAATTCGATCTGCTGCAGAATTGATATGGCAAATGTGGCCGTTTTTCCAGTCCCAGATTGGGCTTGAGCGATCACATCATAACCTAAACGAATAAATTAAGAGAGAAATTAGATGCAGAGGGCATAGAGTTTGGGCTTATGTGGCATTCAAGGCCCATCTTAAGGAGATCAATAAGCAACCAACAGTTACAAACCAAGCAGCAAGTGCTTCTAACTACCTCACCACAACACAGTGACACAATGGGACTGGATAAGAAAACAAGGTGTGGCTATTAACTCATTTAGTATCACACCAAGTTGGGCTAGCAACATGACTGTAAAAACAAGCATGAAGGGTTGGCCCATTGCTCACTCAGAGTGCGGTGCTGATAACACCAAGGCCACGGGTTCGGATCCTATATAGGGATGGCTGGTTTGGCTCACTTCAGAGAGCATGGTGCTGGCAATACCAAGTCAAGGGTTGGGATCCCCTTACCAGTCATCTTTAAAAGAAAAAAAAAAATTAAGAATTTCA